TGTTTGTTCTTCTTATATATTCTTATATATATATATACATATATATAAGAAATAAGAATGTATGCATGCGTTCAGTGTCAGATAGATATAAACGAAATCAAATCGTTGAATAGTGTATTGTTAATTTTTACTATAATTAAAAGGAACAATTTCTGACAATAATCTGGTAGATAATTATTGAAAAGAGAATCCTTTTTGACAGCAACATAGCCGGTCAATAACCAGGTGGACCGAGTTCTGTAAGAGGAATTATCAAAATGGGAAGATGTTTGAGGATAATTGTTCACGACTAGACGCCTCAATTACATGCCTCTAAGGCTGTAGTGGTAAAGTATTTGTCTGCTAGCCTTAAAAACCGGGAAAATAGCCTAGGTTCGAGACCGAGCTTCGACGTCTGGAAGCAACTTATAGCCTAAAGCAATGGCTAGCGGCAGTACTGGACGTGAAAATCGAAATATTTATTTAGATTATTAAATTACTCGAAACCTGCGTGTGGCTAATGGCTTTCGTTCTTTATTATGCTTAATTTGATTAAGTTAAAAAAAAGTTAGATAAATCATCATAAGACATCACTTGTTGCTAGAATGCTGTACGTCGTTGCAATATGACAGTTGAACCTTAATCTGAGATTTTAAAAAACTAATCTTTATTGAATTTTACATGTAAGAGCCCGCAAGGAACACATTTTGAATACAGTTTCCGTGTTAGAATGCAAAAAATCAATCATCATTTTCACAGTACTTGATCTGATCCTTTCCTTCATCACATACGCAGTGATTTGAGGAAATACGACAACTATATAGTGTATCCTATAAGGTGTTAGATTTGCCTTGCACTTTAAGGAAGTTGTGAAGTTCGCGCCTCGCCCAGAATCCTGTTGTCAAGGGCTTCTACACAATGAGCGCCTTATTCACAGCGCATGCCCGCACCAAACGGAGAATGTGTCTATTAAGCGTTCACTTCAAGCCCCTATTAGTTTTAGAACCGGCACCAGTTAACTGCGACGATGATACAAAATCAGTTTATCAATTTCCGTCTCTGAAAGCTGTCAACATCTCAAGGAGTTTTGCCTTCATTGTCATCGGCTAATTCTTGGGAGACCATAATTTACAAATGAAATACTTGTCATTGGTTAAAGGAGAGAACTCTAACAAGGTTTAGGGAGTGTAATTGTGATATGGGGTAGAGGAGATTAAAGCACAGTGGGCGCATCGAATAGTGCTTCGCTGGTCTGAGCTAATCTTTGTCTGGAAACCAGAGCTATTCGTTCTACCCTATATATATATATATGTATTTAGCTAGGAACTGATGACTCAAATAGCGATAGTTGCAATTTATATTCATTTACAATCTGATAAAGCAACATACTGAAACAACACAACCCGCTGCATTCTGCTGATTCTTATCATTAAATTCACTAAAAGTTAACTATCTGACAGCAGTATATGGTAACTAATGATAACAACTAGCTCCCTCGTGCTATTAATCAACCTTAACTACCACTTACCTAACAAAATTGGCAACACAATTATTTTCTAACTTTTCAAGCAATAAATAACCTGATTGTTCTAGCAGCCCACTGCCTATTTCAACCAGAGCGGGATCCTGCTCTATTCCATCATCTGAACGCTTTCGACAGCATCAAACTGTCCTTTCGACTTCAACTCGGTTACGATCGACCCTGACCGTCTACAGTTTCTCTCCAGCGTAGCCCTTAACGAATACACTAATTACCATCGTTCAACTTGTCGTATATCGCCATCATGCAACGTTTATACGCCTGCTATCGGGGGCTTGCTTTCCGTGTTGTTTGCTCCCGCTAGAGACGGAGTTGTTCGCTGCTCGGCTGCTAATGCCCCGGAGCCAGCAGCTGCCGCCGCTATAGCGCCAAAAGCAGATTGAGCGCAGCGCGATTCGGAGGAGGGAGAGGGGAAGGGCCTCTGGCATTGGAGCCGGCGGCGGCTGCACCCATCGGAGCGCATCCCGCTTCCTGGCGCTGCTGCAGCCGCTGTCTGAGACTGGCGGAAGGTCTGCCCACCACTGCTGAGTCTCGTAGTGAGTTCGTAGCGGTAGATCTGTGCTGTGTTCGATGCTGTGCTTTGTTGTTCGAGCAGCGGTCGCTCGATGTCTCCGTTTATGCCGTGCCGCAGCAGCCGATGTCGTCGCCACGGCAGACGCCGATCAGCTCATGCTGATCTGCCACCGATGCAGACACAGACTGATTCGGATAGCGACCGACGTACAGGACTGAGTATATGCATATGGTCTGACGTATGAAAGCCTCGTGCGCCTATGGGGAGATCTTGATTATTCGAGGATTGGACAGGCGCGAGAAGTGATGATAGCATTTTTTCCGTTTTGAGAGCGAAGACGAGATTGGCTGCCGCGGTTGCTAGCAAACACTTCTGCATCTGCGAGCCGCACTTATCCCGTTAGTGACGGTCGACAGTTTTACCCGCTCTTCAGTCAACGGGTCGTGGATCGAGCGCAGTCCCCATCAAGCCGTCGTCGTTGTTGTTGTTGGCGGCGACTTCGAAGATGCATTGATATTGTACCTGTCAAGAGAACATTTGCTTAGTAAGCGTACTGTTGTCTACTATGGGTGAGGAGATTCTGCCGGATATGCAGGCAGGACCGACGCAACCGGGCCCGATGTACGCTAACGTAATGGGAGGATCGTTAGCTGGTGTGAGCGGTGGACTCGTCGGTAGCTGGAGTCGGGTGGCGGGGGCCCGTGCGCCAATCTTCGAATGGTACGACGTCGAGTTGCCTCTGCCGGATGACGGGAACTTTCGGAGTACGTGCAAAATATGCAAGACGAGCATCTCCGCATCAAGACGGGCTACTTCGAACCTAATCTCGCATATGAAGGTAATTCGTAGCACTGCAAAACTATCATCTATGTATGATGTATGTTTAACAGTAAATTCGCATCTAGAAGAAAGTGAAAAGCAAAGAAAAAATGAAGCTGGGAAAGATCTTTTTGAACCCATACACCGTCGCGTTTTATTCTTTTGCAGATGCATGTTTAAGTTTAGGATTTAGCGGTGCCAAAGCTACTCATTTCGACTGGGCCTTAATTGGTACTTATTTTAACTGTGTTTCTAAGAAATCCGCTAGGATTTTGCGCTATTCAGTGGTGAAAATGTGTGCAGTTTTCTTTTAGCACGTGTGCACCTCTCGTTTAACAGCTACCGTTAAGGTGTCTATCTACAAACCTATTAAAGTCACAGCTGTTAACAATGTGGCTTTTTTTCTCTCGTCAAGCAACAATAATTAAAAGCAATTATATCAAATGTATTATACTACAGTTAATTTGATAAATAACTTTTACGACACGAGTTTTTAAGCACGCTGACGAAGCAAACAATGTTAATAGCATTGTAATTTTATGGTTGATTAAATTTTAATTCATATCGAACACCAAAGCTTTGTATTCTCTTGCTCTAAAGCAAAACGGGAAGCAAAACAACTGTAGATGTATTTATTTCGAATAGAAGGAAAAGTAGGTTCCACGACGTCGCCGCCATTAACTCATTGACCCTGTAATACATTGCTTTAATACGGTAACGGTTCAAAAATGAATCGCATAGTCCGCAAACCTTTGAGACTAAACAGGACATCGAGATATCAACGGTTAGGTGTAAGCTATTTACAGCTATCTGGACATCGATATATGAAATACGCCAATCTATAAATAATGGACGCTTCATTAGCAAATGTATATATGAATATCTATTGATAGGAATCCATTAACATATTCTTGTGTAAAAACCTTAACGGGCCAAAAATTCGACAAGCCAGTATCATCAATTTTGCGAAAGCTGCCCTTTTCTCCGTTATTCCACTTCGACGTAGCCGTAACGCGAGGACCACTTGCCTCTCAAATATAACCTCTGTACGGCAACGCTATAAAATTCATCTTGATCTGAAATAGTTCTTTTTTTGAAATGGATTTAATTGTGTGCCTCGACGCACCTTTGCTATAGGGAAAGTTAGTGGTAGCTCAAAGTAACACCGTTTACTGACCTTTCTAGTGGACGCTGTTTAGTTGGGGGTTTCTGAAAAATGGAGTTTCAATTTTATGCGCTTTTTGATAAAGAAAATCAAGTATGCACGCTATAAATAGATTCTTTTGATATTTATGGTGGTTCATTTTTCTCGAAAGCCCTGGGGCACGGCACTCGATGAATTGAGTAAACACCACTTTATATTTCCGCGGTTCTTTAGCCTTTCTGCCTTCAAACAATCGCCATATTTTTAGAATAATGGTAGTGCGCGAAGTGAAAAGGAGCTTTTAACCTTTGCCTCTTAAATTTTGTCAGTGTAACGCTTACAAAATATGATCTTTTATCTACCGATTTTTGCAGCTATCGCTGTTTATTTTCTTTATCAGTTTCATCCGCTGTGTCAATAACGTTGCTAGAATTATCTCAGTGGTCAATTGAAATGGACGAAAATCTAGCTTGTACGAAGTTTCTACGGTATTTTGGGCACTTGAACCTCGTCAAACATAGGATTGCCTACGCTGTTTCTATCACATACGGATTTCCCAAATCTTCGATGTGTTTATGATTATAGCGAACGAAAACCGCGGATGAGGTGACAACGATTTGAAGCAGCCCAGTACAAGCGCTCAAAAAGAGGCCCAGTTTTCCAACTGGTAATTGGTTTTTCTTTCAAGTAAATTTCAAAAAATGGAATTGTCTGGCATAGCTAAGTTTTTTCCCCAGTCGAAAGGACATTGCATTGGGTTGCGAGTATACCACGTGACAAGACTTTTGCCTACACAGGCCAGAGCGATATAGGGCTATATAAGTCGCTTCTTTTCGGATGCGCACTAATTTAACAAAGAAATTGAAAAAATCTGTCTGCTTTATCCTGTAAGACAACTTATGTGTATTTTTATCAAGGCAAACTAAGGCATCGTAATTTTATGCTCGTTGTCAATAACGTGCTACATGTAGTTGCTTTAAACAATTTTTACATAGAATTTTTGCTATATTGGCATTACGCGTCGGCAGATGAAACATTATCGCCGATCGACGCGTCAACCTACGGATAGTCATAGTCACAGTCATGCATAATCGAAGGTAGTCATTTTATCATAACGGTGGGTTACGTTTTTCGTATAGGCTATTTAATGTGTTTGCTTTGAATATACTCATATGCGTAAAATAACACATTACATGAAGACTTTGTGCGTAAGTCATCATAAACTAACTGCATTTACAAGCTATTTTTGTGTGCTCTAATTGTGTGAATGATTTCCGTTCAGATCTTATGATTTGGACGTGTCTTCAGCCGGCAAAAAGGCGAACGACTACTATTGGCCACTATGTCTGGGTTACATATAATGTCAGTTCATATTCCGCATAATCAAAGAAATAAACGTCCTGTGGACTCTCTCATGTGTGTTCAAACTAAGACGAAATGGGGCCGGCCTATTTCTATAGAATCTTAATAGTGCACTTTTAGTTGGGCTGCTAACGAATCTCAGCGACAGACAAGTTCTTAAAACTTTCTAGCGTTAGCAATCTCGCAGTCTGCATTGCCACAGAGATATGTGCTTCTTTCGTGAGCACCATGAATAAAAGCAGACTGAATTAAGCTTAAATTATCTGTTTTTTTGTTAATTGTATTCACAAGCGTAGGTATTCATTCTGACCTACGTGTCAACGCTTTAAAAATAGAACAGGCTTTGTCACTGGCCTATCTCTAACGAATGGATGACGTAACGATGTGATATTTTTCTACCATATGCATTATGACATTTATTTTTAGAAACATTTAAGTTTAATAGATTGCATGCGGATATAACACCGAGAAAAGTTTCTAGTCACCTTAAGGGTACCCTCCGTAGACCGGTCCCATCTGTAAAAAATTTACGACACATCTTATTTCACTGGGTTGTCCTAATAGTTATTATTGATGAATCACTTCTAATAAATCAACCGCTACTGCTTTGGTAGAAGTATACTTTTTTATTTATAAGAAGCCTTCCCTGTTCCGTCGAATAGCTCTAAGTAATATGCGTTGCAGCTTTTACAAATGGAGTCACCCGCAAAAATAACAGTTATAAAACTTATTTAATATAAAAATAGGCACCTGTTGATTCATACAAATAATGATTTGTTGATATTTTATTTAGGTCAACATTGCATGTGTTGACAAAATCATTTTCCACGGCAATTTATTACTCTTAATTAGTGTTCCAGGTGAGTGTTTATCCGTTTATCAGCATAGACCGTATTTTAGCAATTTAATAATATATACTTTTTATCCATGTCAATGTTGCAGCTTCGTAAACGTTTCAATATTATTTGATGAAAACCGCTTTGTTAATTAACAAGTACTATATATATTGCTAACTCGCCAGGCAATTAACAGCAGTCCCTTGATATAATCCCTAATAAAAAAAAAAAAAAAAAACACTCGGTTTTTTACTAAGTGGAACTTCTTAACACGGCTTTTATAATTAGCTGAGACCATTAGATGAGCATCATTTTACAGAAGTCCAATGAAATCTAGATTGTTAAACGTTTAGTATTCATAAAGCTTCCATTGCACAAACATATATGCCACCATGTATTTGGAAAGTAGCTACGAAATCAGAAAGTTAGCCCATAATTTTGAAACATGTCGCTCAGTCGACGACTATTTAACACATGGCACCTAGTAGTAACATCTACGGTCATTTGATGGCGTGAGCCATTGTTTTACAATTTTTTGCATATTTTATTTCTCTTCAGCATTCTAATGAATTTTAGATTTACCGCCAAAAAGTGAACGATCAGTTGGGCTGTCTTTAGGGTCGGATAAGTTGATCGCTGGTCTCACAAATATGGGTCCAATCCAAAAAAAGGAAGAAATGCATTTTGGTGTACGTTGACATTCAGTAGTATCATACAATGATAAACATCGCTGGCTAGGTAACTCTAAACCGTCTACTAACTTTTTCAGTGAAACTTGATTCTCTTCTATCCAAAAAATGTCCCTTCAGTTACTTAAATCCACTTTGAAGCTATCCACTTTAATCGCTGCCGCTCTACTGTTTCCACAAATATTGCTAGCCTTTTGGCAATTGATCCGATATACTTTATAATTCTGATAATTATTAGATTTAAAGGCGGCTGTAAAAATGTTTTTTGTCAGCGTGCATTCGATGAGAAGACGACTTTCTCGACTGAATCCTCGTCTCGCTCTATTACTTTACTATCAGCTGAAATTGGTTGGCCTTTTCGGGTTGAAACTCTGCAAGATCCTAAAGGTTCACCGTAAACGAATTTACTTATTCTTGGTATCATTATACAGGGTATTTCAACTAGAAATTGGAACCATGAGGTTGCGTTATTAATTTTCCCGCTTTAAAACTTACTTGATTACTTTGGAAAGAAGTTCATCAAATTATTGGATTATAACGGAAAGTATAGGAATATCAGAGTAGATCTAAGGCTTCGATGTAGTAAAAGCTGACGGAGCTAGGGAAACGTTGACCCAACCCTGAGTTCCGGGGAGTAATAACTTAATTTTTAAGTTGAGCGCCATAGCAGAATTCGATAAGTTGTTAATTATTTAACTGGATCGTTTGTTGATACCATAACAGATACTAAGATAGACGCTTGATAAGACGCTCTTCCAGATATCGTGTATTCCACCCATTATTTGCTTTCTCGACCAAGCATATCTAATTCTAATAATGGTCGATTAAATTGTACCTTGACATTGTTATGGTTACCTAATCGATTACGAGACTTAGTATCCCAATGAACGAATGTGGTTGGCTTCATCAGCTGGATTATTCGACGTCTTCAAAAGAGCAGTGTCCATCAAAACTGCTACGATCAGCGGTCGCTATTTAGAACATACTATAGTAAATAATCAATTACTTCTTGAGCTGAACCAAAAAGATCGATTGTATCGAGGAAATATACATTACGGTGCTAACTTTCTAACAGCTAAAGGTTTGTTTCAGCATTTCGCTACCGGTCGGTTGACGGCAAATGAAGGGCAGAATCTTAATTTCGTGCAGGTATTTTTAGGTCGCCGGTCATGCTAGACAATTTAAAACAACTATTTTGAAGCTTAAAAAAATTAAGCTACTATAACAACCGTATAATATGTGCAGCTTTTCGAATCAACCAACCCGAAACGGGTCGGTTTATTCGAAATTATAGTGATTATAGCCACCGTTTTAAGCCTAACTGCAGGTACTTACTTCCGAGACAATTTGTCTTATAAAAACACACATTCCCCAAAGTGACAATAGCCTAATCGCTTCTTTTCTCATTTATTTTTTAATTTTGACATTTCGCTAGAAATGATTTTGCCATTTTTTTTGCCATAGAAAAGCCATTTGAAAATGCTGCGTTTATTAACCTTCATCGTCTCTCAGGAGCGTGGCTTGAAATGTTGAAACATTTTATATAGATATTATATATTTTTTTATTCATATATGGTATAGTCTCAAGGTCCCCCACTGTTCATTATTCGGAACAACATCAGCCTGTAGCAACCGTGCAGAGTTTTCTTTTACCTGTGCTCATTTGCATAATATCCTATGCAGACTACAGTTCTGTATTTTCTTTTTTATTATGGAAACTGTCATCGATGAACAGTAAAAATTGTGTTGTAAAAAACATGAGATATACTCAAGTTTTAGGTGGTATTATTGGGTTTAGTAAAAAGATTTGTCACGTCCGTAAATTATTCACAGCCGTATGAGAACCCGATATTGGTTATACCCACGTTTGTATTCCGTTTGCGCTGTGGTTTTTTAACGTGTGCTACGATTATTCATGAGTTAAATTTGACTCCGCCAAAGTTAGAGAAGCTCAAACGAAACTTTTAACGAACGCCATCATAAAATAGAACTTGACGAATGAACCTGGAAAGCAATGCGTTCATAATGAACACTATTTGAAACAACAGATCAAGTCCCATATTGGTAGATATATTCTACAGACTTTATCTCATGATTTTGTTCGTGTTTTGTATTCGCAGAGGAAACACCCTGGTGTATATGCCGATAACGTCGGTCAGCGATATCAAATTAAGACCGAAAGGCCCGTTTCACAGAGTCATTCGCAAGGTGAAGGATGTTTTAGCAGTGATGGACCAAACGGAATTGAAGGCTCGGTTACATCCCATGGAAGCAGCAATGGAGTTCATGGACCAATTGTGGATACCCACTCGAGGGCTATCGGTGCCTTGGTAGATTTCCTCGCCAACTCTCTCACTGATCCGAAAATGGTCGACTCCACAGATTTTCGCCGCTTCGTTCACACCCTGAACCCCGGCTTCGACCTTCCATCGAGTCTCCATCTTAGTTACAGTTACTTGCCATCCAAAAGATGGGGCATACAACAAAGGTAGACTGTTGGGAAACGTTAAGTGAACGCCATTTTCTAGCTAATTACGAGAATTTGATGTAAGTTGGCCGCATTTCAAGCTTATTTAAGAATTGTTATAGCTCAACTTCATTTTCGATTGTTTCAACTTACGCTTGTTAGGTACCGTCAGTGTTGCCAACATCATGTTATCTAAGTTATCTATGTGGTGATATCTATGGGTGTGATTGACAGCATCAATTTATAATACGAATGGATGATTTCCCGTACGCCTTCCAGATACGTTACACGTGCGGAGTAACATTCGTTGAATCCTTTTGTGTTTTTTTTTACTTCAGAATGATGCAACTTCTACAGGAGGTAGAATACGTCGCCATCACACAAGACGTATGGACGAATGCATCCCACCAGAGCGTAGCATGTCTGTCGGCTCACTTCGTACACGACTGGAAGCTTAAAATGGTTTTTCTGGCGTCCAAGCATTTCACCCTACCTGATATCAAGACTAACTTAGCAGAGCTGTTCGAGGATACCATCTCATATTACAATTTATCCCAAAAAGTTTCCCACACGCTAACGAATAACGCTACCAAATTAGCGCGATCAGCGAAGACATCTCTACCAGGGTTTCTTTCTGAGGATCTTGAACTAACAGATTCACCATCCACAAGCCAAGAGGGAGCCTCTATCGACCTTAAAGATATGAATTCCGTATTTCTTGAAGGAATGGCATGCTTTGCAGAGGCGCTTGAAAGCTGCGTTATGACTGCGACGAAGGACAATTCTTTCCTCGAATCGGTACTCTGCAAAGTAAGTGCGGTTGTCGATTACATTCGAACGATCGTTTTCCCCAGTCCAGCGCTGGAGGAGCTGCGGGTGGTACTAGAGCGCGGCTACTCCACTTGGAACCTTCAGCTGCGAATTGTCCGGGCAATAGCTAATACAACTCACGAGCGACTGCAGAATGCTCTTTCCGGCGTCAAATCCCTAAGTCACGAGGACTATGCCGTTCTCACCGAACTCGTCGAGCTTCTTGAACCTTTTGAGGAAGCTTATAACCTGTACCGAGAAGGGCACAAAGTCACAGCTAGTTATGTCATCCCGTGCATACGAGGACTAAAAGTACACCTGCAGAATATTAAAACTGTCCATCTGGGCCCGGTCGTCGAGAAACTCAGTCAATTCATTCACACCAATTTAGCGAAGTACGAAGCCAATGAAACGTATGCGTTATGCTCGATTCTTGACCCGCGCTTCAAGTTGGCGTGGTGTCCTGAAGAAAGGCAGTGTAGCTTAATCACGTTACTATGTAGAAAGGCATCTGAACAACGTTTCCCTGAAACAGTTACCTCCTGTAATGCCATGTTATTTCAAGGTGAGGAGCGGAGGTCGAAATTGTTCCAATTTATGTCTCCGCAGACATCAAAAAAAGCCAACTCCGTGCATTCGGTAGAGGTAGGCAGCTATCTTGCGATGCCCTGTTTACCGGACAGTGCAGCGTGCTGTCCACTTGAATTCTGGAGGCAAAATCAAGGCCAGTTCCCCTCGTTGTGCCAGTTGGCACGATCTCTCATGAACATCCCGGCAGCCGCTACCCAGGTGTTACTCATGAGTCGCATTCAGAATACTGATACAGTGGCTAATTTAGCTGATCTAACACTCAACAGCTCGACATTCGAATCGCTAATGTTTATCAAAGTCAACAATGCTCTCATTCGACTGTAAGCGATCTCCTCAACACTATACATAGGATTAAGATAATACAGTATGAAACATACATCCATACATATATACACCCATACGTATATATAAAGGAGCAAGGCCGGTAAAAGTACACTGTGGACTTATTTGTGATAAGCTTAAGTCTAGATACGCAGGGTATATCCATCGCTGGTCACATCTTTGAGATATCATTGAATAAACTATCGAATACAATAATGAACGTACGTTCCATAAAAAAATCATGTTCACTACAGAGTCACTTCATATATAATATATAATTTCGTTAGCATTTGTAGGTCTCGAACGAAGTGCACAAATCCAAAACAATGGGTATTAGGCCTACAATGACTAACGGGAGTGCTGGAACAAACTAGGTTTACATATAATAAAGGTTTATGTAATTATTAAAGACAACTTCGAACATAAAGGGTCGACTGTCGCATTTGATGCTCGCTTTCGTGTTGCATGTTATGTAAATATCTAGATTTTTATTAACCTAATACGGTACTTTACTACCGATGGCAGAGAGGAAAAGCTGTATACTGACCTCAATGGCTAGAAATGATGCAGCAGACACGAGTTTCCTGTTTACATACAATTATTAAGCTAAATTACGTAGTCAACGAAATCTGACCGTTAAAACACGTGAGAGTGCTGAATACCATTGGATGGAAGGTGCGGTATATCTAAAAAAAAACAGTTAATACTTACCTAGTTATGTACAATACAAGTAGAAATAGGCTACTGAGATTGAAACGTGTATGAAGTCAATAACCGTAGTAAATAAGTGGTCTGTTCTTTATTCCAATGCTCTCATTCGGCTTCGCGTTTTTTTTCATATTCACTTGTTTGACACATTTTTGACGACAAATAAAAACTGCAGGTTTTACGAAAGGACCATTGGGCAGAATCGCTAAATTATCTATCTTATAGATGATGAATGAATATTACTCTTTCCAGTGACCCAAGCAAAATATAAACGCTCAACTGTAACTATTAATTCATCAGATTCAATTCTCTTGAACAAATTTTTGTCCTGGATCGGTAAGTTTGATTGAAAGCCTTCATTAAAGCTCTACTGATTGAATTATGTCTAAGTTATCAGTTTAATTCATTTTTATCGGGTAATGATATTTACAATATAATATATATAAGGCTTAGTTTTTCTTAGAACTGCTGTAAAACCTTAAATATTTTAATTACGTAACTAGCCATATTCGCAACGCCTGTGTTAGTCTATTCCCTTCTTTCACCTTGCATAATATTATGTTATTTTCGACCCTGTTTTTAGTCGTTATCGTATAGCATAATAGTAACTAAAGCTAGTCGAAATAAGACCATATAATCAATTTTTAGTGTTTCTTACACAGTGTCATTGCTTGCTGTTTAAGTTTGTTTTGACGAAAAGATATATCGCCATGTGCTAAAGGCTGGCGACGCGCCAAATTTTGAATACGAGCATAGACATGCGCCGTTTGCTGTCTGTCCTAAAACCCAGTTGATTAGTGTTTTTGCTGGGCCAATTCACAGAAAAAAACGTGCGTCACTTTGTTCTTCTGACAAAATCTTACACGGGAATTGGTTTGGTCTGCACGAAAATGTATACGGTATAGGCAAGAAAGAAATATTCCTTATATCATCCGCCAGTAATAGTCGTGCTTTCCAAACATTCTAGTTTGGCATATTTGTTCATTCCAAGTAGCAGAGACCTATCGCATCATATTTTTACAAGAGTTCTAAGACAAGCGCACTCTTATATTGACTTAATTAAGTTAAAATCTGCTAACTGACCTATTGTAATATATAATCAAAGTACGGTAAAATAAATTTTATTTAGAATATAAAAGCTAAGCCTGCGGCACGGTAGCAACGTTCTTTTAGATCCCCCGAACTGTTCATATACCTTTGTGGCGCTGTACTAATACCATATCAGTGAGTATCTTGATTATCATGGATCCATTGAAAATGATTATCCATTTTGAACGATAACCTCATTCGTCCAAAAGATATCAGTCGGAACGTATCGACAATATAGTAATTGTTATTTTGTGTTGTGATCGCTGGCAGCTAGAAATGCTGTTGCATTGTCATTATGATGGCAGCTGGTACTTCGTGATTTCAAGTTGAGTCGTCTCAACGAACGAAAGAAACGAGAAAAAGTAGCAACTGAAAAACGAATCAATGAATAAACAGGTCTTGATAAATTCTATACCTAATCAACGCCTTCGATTCGACCAGATGTGTTACTCTGCCGCATCCCACGAATTGGGCCATTTAGTTCTGTCGTTACGAATGTCCGTCGCAACGTTTGCTCCCAGAGCGGAGACAGATGATTGCGTTAATGGCAGCTGCTCTTACCAAAGATAAGAATCTCCCTTCTTAAATATTGTATGATATGGCCACGAAAGGCCGGTGACGCTAATGCACGATATAGATGTGATACAACACGAGTGTTTTTACTACAGACGCCCGTATCAAACTTACGAGTCATCGAAGGTGCTCCAATGTTCGATGCAGATTAACTGTAATTGATTTATTCCCAACAGTGATTGATGAAGCACGATAAACTATTCCAACAGAAAATTATCTAATCAAATAAAACTCTTAATAGTTTTTTTTTTTTTTTTTTTTACTGAACGCTCTTCTCTCAAATAGTTAAACATTAAAACTAAATTACTGATCCATAGATATGTGCTAATAGTATCTAATCATACCGGTATATGCCTTTTCGATTAGTTGTATTTGCAAACACTGGACGTATGAGCAACGCTTGTCAACCGAGAAAAACTCATAACGACCTATTACAGTTCTGTTAAAACGAACACTTCAGAGAGAGCTAACTTTGTCGCGATTCTCTCTCGTCTAAAAATATGTCAACTATAGCTAAATAATAAGCTACGCCAGAGGGGAGGACCTCGGTCCTCTCTCTTCAGGTCAAATCTAAGATCCTACCTGGCCTGGAAGTGCGGAACTCATTTCATTACACAAGGTCCGATTAAGCGTTCTGTTTTCTGCCCTGAGCATTTCTCAAAATTTTAACGCCCTTTTAATAATAACAATAGTTGGTATTTTACACTAATTATGTTGCTATTGTGGCTGTAAGATATGTATGATATTAAAACGTGTACGCATGTATACATGGTTTTATAATGTGCTAGACATTCGAACATGCCCACAAATTTAGAAATCGGACCGAGTCAGCATGGTATTAACATCACTTACTTATTATGAAGCATTACCATTTTACGAAGCAATACCATTTTACTAAAACATCGTTTAGAGTACTGTGATATCAAACGGTAATAATTGTCTAATTATGGTTACATGAGTTCCATATCACATATAAGCTATCTGATATAACCGTAGTATAAAGACGCGCTGGACAGCTGAAGGCAGTGATGCGTATCCCTATGGAAAATAGCAATTAGGTTACGTGTGCTGCACCAAATTAGCGCTTGATATAACACGCTTTAACGCATTTGATTTAGACAAAGTTTGTCGAGCATCTGGCATGCAATACCTGACCATATTCAACGAACTTACTTGTAGGTGTTCTTTAATTACTTTTGTGTGAGGAACTTATTGCCAAATATTGTTCCATTTTGGATGATATGCCTTTGAACCCCGTCCATAGGTAAGGTGGCCGACCAGACAGAGCTAATTTGTCACTTCAGTACGGTTAACACATTTTAGACTAAGAGCAACCGCGCATGCCAGTCGATGCATGTATGTTTCCATATGGTGACACCCTTTTCGAGAACATCCACTGGGGTTGGGTATTTCTGTATAAACCGAACTTTAGACTTGTGTTACGCTTGCATCAGTTATAGCAGTCGTGGCGTTCCAAACGTTTGAATTCTTTGTTTAAAGAAAAACCCTTTCTTGCAGGCGCGAGAGAATCGTGACAGAATTTGATCTAATCTATCCAGGGTTTAGGCAATTTCATAAAGCGAATTACTGATTTCGTCTTTTCGTAGTTGACCTGATTACAGAAAGTCAACCTTAATATTTAATTCCTCGAAAAAAAATCCCCAGAAGGAAGTACAATGATCAATTAACATGCACAGACACGCTTTGTTTGTCCAAAAATTTTTTGCGTAACGGATGTGCACCATGTAAACACGAGTAAGAAATATTTCGCCTACTGATAAACTATTTTTCCTACAAATACAATCAGCGAGAATAGTAGAAATTATTGCGCAGAAGTCTGCGGTTTTCAAAGACGAGAGCTTGGATTTCGGGACGGTTCGTTAACCGTTGCTAAGACTATATTGCCGAGAGTTCTCATTAGTAAAGGTCTAAAGCACATTTTCTTTCGTTCTGATATTGTTTTGATCTAGGCAAGCCATTTTCTGTACCTTTTATTTTAGGTAGGCAGCTCGTTTTGTACTGCCTTTTTAGCAGAATATGATCGAACAACGCACGTCAGTTCTGGTGGTCACAACAAGTGGTATTTTTCTCTACCACACAGCAGTTAATGAACGAAGTTTAGCCATAGCCTAAACGTTTCTATATACACAGGCTAATTTTCAATCAGGTGAGCCATACCGTTTTGGGTCCTTAACGTAAATCAATATTGGGCAAAGCAACTCTCGACATATAGGAAAAAAGAAAAAACAAAACAGCTTCTCCGGTCACATATTTGGAAGATAAAGAAAGAGACGTCCTGTCAATAATTAAATAACTCTGCAAGATATGTACCAAGTAATCTCGAAAATCTCACGCAAATTTAATGAAGCCATAATATAACCTTGCTAAGCTTAATTTTGCATTAATAAACCTATTACTACATAGAATATTTCTAACAAAGTATTTCTTTGTTGCATAGATTCAACATACCTACATATTGAAAGCTGCCTGGTTGCGTATTTTAAACAATTCCACAGCAAATGTCAAACTCGTGTAATTGGGTTCGAAAGCAATTAGAACAGTCACCAGATTTGAGCAATTAAAATGAAGGCTTTTAAAAACACAATAGTTCAGATCTGAAATTGTCCTTGAAGCTTTATTTACGCAACACACGAAGTGATCTTAACTGGGCTGCCAAAAGCTTCATGCAAAAAGGACGACCTCGGTTCAACAACTTACCACATAGTATTTCAATGTGTCATGAGTGCGCTGACTGATCGCTCTCATATTCAATAAAATTGTAGGACCTGACCAAGAACATCTAAAATCCGTTCAGTGGACCAACGTCAGGGCTCTTCTAGCATCAAGCTGTCAACTACTTCTCTTGACAACCTCGATGGTACTTTGTGGAGCCATGCGACCAGTGAGATTCATATGTCTTTTTATACCTTTATGTACGTAGAGTACAACTCACCAATCCATACTTAACTAGCGTTAAGGGTAACAGTGATGGGTAAAAGTGGAACAAAAATGCCACTTCCAGTTGCCAACGTACGGCGTCGACAGCTTTTTATGAGGTTGTTGTGACGAACGGAAAGTAAACACGACTACAAAAAATTCGACTATACGTTTATGTCACCTGTTAAATTAAATGAAGCGTAGAATAAATAGGTTATATAAACGATTAATCAGCTTGGAAATTTGATCTAGTTTCCGTCAAATGCTTTACTAATGGCATGCTTCATGCTAAACTTAAAATGATCATTTAGTTAAAAATTATAAAGAGCTTTACACTACAACCTGAGCGGGTGACCTAAAATTACAATGTGCATTTTTCGAAAATACGAATTCAGAACTATTCTGGACCCAGACAATCGTTCTCCTCTATAGCTCTCTAATCACCTCAAATGCTCTCACTTCTAAACATATTTCGAAAAACCTGTCTGCCACATAGACCTTAACCTACCGAGATAGTCTCTTGCCTAATTATATGTTTGGAGTCTTGAAACCACTCTGACTTACACTTAAGATCAAGCTGGTT